AAAATAAACTTGGCACTCATGTATATGTGTTAACATTTTTGCCTTGTGGTATAAACTAATATCAGAAAAATTTAATCCACCTTCTAATATAGGCAAACACATTCTTTTAAATGATATACAAAGTGAAGCATTACCCCAAATAAAAGCCCTGAAATAATGCATTAATCTTTTGAAAGTATGCTTGGGGGATGTGTAGATAAATACCACACAACACATATATTATTATTTGCAGCTGTCAGAGACTGCCTCCAGGTCCCAGCTCACAGAGGACCAACGCTAGCCAGTAGTAATGTACAAAAGTCTTTATTGCAGTACAGTTTCCATTTTCAAGCCCTAGCGTGCGTCTCTACGTCTAGAGACTAGACCGGCGAAGCTCCGTCTGAATCTACGCCCCCTGTACACCAGCTTAAGACTCTAACCTTACTCCACCTCTTCCGTCTCTCCTTCTGCCTCTGGGTCCTACTACCCCCCGGGGTCCCTTCCTTCCTGGACGCTTCGGACGCGGACCCCTCTGACTCTTCCCCCTCCCTTCGGCGGGCTTTAGGACCTGGCTCCCTTTCCGGGCTGCTCACTGCGCCACCCTCTTGTACGTTTGAACTTGGCGCGCACGCCCAGTCTCCGACCTTCCTTTTGACCGTTTCCTCGCTCTCTGATGCAGGCGTGGCCAATCCTGACTCATGTCCTTCCGCTGACGGAGAGCTGCCTGATGCCGATACCGGGGACTCCTCCCCCCTACTGCTCTTTGGTGGGGAAGCTGGTCCCGATTTCCAACTGCTGCTCTCTGAGTCCCCTCTGGCCCCTCCTTCCTGGGGTGTTCCCCTTGGCAACCCCTTTGCTCTGACCACGGGAGCCCCTTTCTGTGAATCCTCCGATTCACTGGAAAGACTTAGAGACCTAGGGCGGCTGTCATCGCTAACCTCTCCCTCGGATTCCTCCCCCTCGGTCTCTATCTCCTCCCTTTCCTGTGCCTCTGCTCCCGAACCCCTGACAGCAGCATTCATTAATCTTAAGTGTATTAACTTTACTGCAAATACTAAATTTAAGTAGCATCCATCTTTCCAAATCAATTTATTGAGATTTATGTTATTTACCTATTTGCATTCAATTTAATGATTTGAGAAGTATATGTAGGAAACAAAATTGCTAGATATGTTATAAAGCTTCAAACTTCTATTTTCACCTTCCTACTATTTCCTGTCAACTAAAGGCATTCCAATAGCCACATGGAAAATCAGCATGTCACAAAGCTATTAACTGTAAATTTCTTAAGTGTTTGAAAATTTAGTAAAAAGGTAGGTGGGGCAACATCATATTAGTCATTCCCGTAACAAATTATGACTCAGTGCTATTATCAATTATACATATCAATGAATAAGAGCCTTCAGGACATAAAAGTTTTCTGAACAATGGCCTCAAGAATAATTACTCTTTCATAGCTCTCTTCAAGGCTGAAAGAAAGCTTAAAAAGCAGTCACACTTTCCAAAGTCCATAGCAATTGATAATGACAAGTCAATACTGTCTTGAAGACTAAGGCTGCAATCCTAAACAATGTTACAGTTGAGAGTGGGTCTTACCGTTCATTAAAGATACTTGAAACAACCAATAAACGGCTCAGCTTTGACTAGATAGAGACTCTGGTCAAAGATGAAACGTATAATCCATGCAAGTAGTTTCAAGACAGATCCTTTCTAGATCACATTTCTAGTTTTCCCAAGATGTAAGGAAAAGAAACCTATTGTTCATACCTGCTTGATTCTACTACGCATTCTTACTGGGAAGTCACACCAAGTTCAATGAGGCTTGCCATCAAATAAGCCTGCAGAAAATATGTATGCTGGCTAATCCTAAATTCTTCTGTCCTTAAAAGTTAGTATTCTTTAAAAAAATAATAAAGGAAGTACCTTAGTTGTTAGGATATGCTTCTTTAGTACAATCTAACTACTTTCGCAATAAGTTTTGCCAGTCTATCTGCCCACACATCTGTTTGGTATTTCATGGCATAGTGAAGGAAATGGGGGTGTGCATGTGTGCAAGAAAGGAGAATTCTCCATTTTATAGAAGCTTCCCTGTGTGGCTGCAAAATAGCACTGGTAACATCCCAAAGATAACCAGGTAAGTGGCTATTTATATGCTTGTTCAAACAATAGTAGTGTACAAATTTCCAAATAACCTCTCAATCTCACTACAGGCGGCGACAATTTTGTGCAGGGGTTCTGTTCCCAGCCCCCATGCACAACAGCAGAGCATGTGTGCCCCACCCTCTTCTGGGTCCAAAAGGTTCCGCATGTCAATGGGACTTGCCTAGAATGGTTGCTGCCTGTCTATAAAAAATGTTACCTATTCTTTGCATTCACAACTGTCTAGTAAACAGTTTCAAATACAACACAATCACAACATATGTGTGGGTTCGATTCCAAGGGTTCTAGGTAAAGGTAAAGGGACCCCTGACCATTAGGTCCAGTTGTGGCCGACTCTGGGGTTGCGGCGCTCATCTCACTTTACTGGCTGAGGGAGCCGGCGTTTGTCCGCAGACAGCTTCCGGGTCATGTGGCCAGCATGACTAAGCTGCTTCTGGTGAACCAGAGCAGCGCACGAAAATGCTGTTTACCTTCCCGTCGGAAGGTATTTATCTACTTGCACTTTGACATGCTTTTGAATTGCTAGGTTGGCAGAAGCTGGAACCAAGCAACAGGAGCTCACCCCGTCGCGGGGATTCGAACCACCGACCTTCTGATCTGCAAGTCCTAGGCTCTGTGGTTTAACCCACAGCGCTACCCGTGTCCCTGTCCAAGGGTTCTACATATATGCAAAAACATGTATACTCAAGCTGCCCACTTGTAAGCATCCCTAGCCTTCTGGACCAATGAACTGAGGAGGCTTTGCTGCCGCTGCCCAAGGAAGGCAGAGTGCTTAAAAGCACCAGGCAGCCCAAGCTGACCCAGTGCAAAAAGTGCTTTTAAGCTCTTTGCCTTGCTTTCATTTTAACTTGTGCAATTTCAACTAGCCTGACTTTAGTCATGTATGGTTGAAAGTGCATGAATTACATGTGCGTACAACAGAGGCTTTCAACCTTTTTGAGTCCACAGCTCCCTTCTTTTTGCGGCTCCCCTGTGGAAAGTTTCCAGTAGGACCCTATACAGGCATACCTCGAGTTGAATGTGCTTCGGGTTGAGCGCGTTCGAGTTGCGATCCATGGCAACGCCGCTCGCACATGCGCAGACGCTCAAAATGACGTCACGTGCATGCGCGGAAGCGGCGAAAAGTGACCCATTGCGTCTTGCGTTCCGTTTGGGATGAGAACGGGGCTCCGGAACGGATCCCATTCGCATCCCGAGGTACCACTGTACCTTTTACTCAGACATGTTTAAGTTGCATTGGGCTCACTCTTACTGTACACTGGATTGCAGCCTTAAAAAAAACAATCAATTGTAGGGAAGCAATAAATAAATGGTGCTGCACCTGACCATCATTCACGGCGCCCCAACACCAGCTGAAAACCACTGGCATAAGATGCAATTCTACTGTATACAACAGACCTACCTAGGGAGGTGCTGAGTATTCCAGGGCACTATGATTGTCACTGACTTTAACATTTTGTATCTTTATTGGATAAAGTAGTCCACTGTTCTGCTCCTACTTCTTATCTTGACTGCATGGAGAATGCTACCAAGATAGTCAAATTTCTGTGGTCTTTTTCCTTCCCTAAGGTTGGTATTAAACCCCTGCACATGTCCTGTAGTGTATAGACTACAGCATGAACCTAAAAAGATATAGACTGTGTATACACCATATATTTAAAGGCATGACTTCCCCCAAAGAATCCTGGGAACTATAGTTTACCCCCCCCCCCACACACAGAGCAATTCACAGTACTATTAGTTTCCAGGATTCTTTGAGGAATCAGTCATGTGCTTTAAATGTATGGTATGTACTCAGTCATGGAACTGTGAACAGAGAGGCTCAAGGCCACTGTTTTCTCAACAGAGGGAGGGTCACTAAAGCAAATACTTTCACCCTGGTGTCAATTCTACGGATCCTATACAAGTATCTCACCTACTCATTTTAGAGAAACTTGTGAATACTAGAGCTCAGGTATTCCAAAACCTAATCTGCACAAGAAGACACATTAGTTGAAACTTACCAGTGTAAAGGAGGACACATGTAACTACCCAAACTGTCTGCTGCAAAAAATTAAGTCCTCCCCACTCAGCTGAACAATTGCTTTCAAAGATCAGAAAATATTATTTAATAACATACTAGCTCCCCTTCAACCCTCAATTACCATCAACTTATATTATATTTTGTAATGTTTTACCACCACAAATCAATGTAAAGCTGCACTGTAAAACCAGGCCGAAACAAGGGCATCTGCCTTGCATGCAGAAGGTCCCAGTTTCAATCCCAGCATCTTCAAATAGGGCTAGGAGAGACTCCCTGCCTGAAACCCTCGGGAGCCACTATCAGTCAGGGTAGACAGAATGGAACTAGATGGGCTCCGCACCATGCAGCTTGCCATGCTCCTATTAAAACGAAACATGTCTAGACACATCCTTTCGCTGCCCGGATCTCTTTTCAGGCACCACACCATGCTTGGCAGTGCTTTCCTTTCCACAGGTCCCTGTACACTGTGCCATCCACACACAGCTCCCTAGGAAGGGAGGCGAGTCAGCCTCCAAAAATTATGGGGGGTAAGGAAGTTATTCAGTGCACCACAGCCAAGTCACAGGATCTGCAAATAACAGGTGAGAAATGACAACACCCCCCCCACACACACACAACAAGGGGGTCCAGAGCCAAGGGGTCCACAAGGGAAGTGCAGAGATGCCCTGGCGGCCTCGTGGTCCAGCTCTGCAGGAAAGCCCTCGCCATCTGCTCGCCACGAAAAGCGGGCAACCGGTATGGTTAGGGCCGGTTAGCAGCAGCTCGGGGGGGGGGGGGCTCCGGTATCCTCCACCCTAAGGGCCCCTTCCCCCCCCAAAAACCCCCCCCCACCCCTCACCTTTGCAAACAGGCGAACTCGGGCTCTTCCTCTCCGGAGAGGCCCTGCTTTGCTCGGGCGACCGCCTCCTCTGCCGGTGCCGGATCCTTCCCCCGGAGGACGAGGAAGAAACCACGGCGACGGCGGCGGCGGCGGAGCAGGCGCTGCTCTCGGGCACAGGCGGCGAAACCGGGGAGGAGCAAGGCGAAGGGCTGGAGCCCGGCAATGGCGGCGCGGGGGGCGGCGGCGGCGGCAGCTGGTGCAGCCGAGGGGGGCTCCCGCGAGGCCCGGCCCCGCGCGTGGGGCTGCCGCGCGTGGAAGGCGGCGGCGGCGGCGGAGGAGGGAGGGCGGCGGCGGCGGCGGCAGGGGTCTGCGTGGCTACGGCAGGGCTGCCGCCGCCGCTGCGCGCGCCGCTGCCGTTACCGGGCGCCGGGCGCGTCGGGCTGGCGGTGCGCGAGGAAGGAGGCGGCGGCGGCGAAGAAGAAGAAGGCGGCGGCGGCGGCTGAGGGGATGTCGTCGTCGCCGCCGCCGCCGCGCGTGAAATGCCGCCGCCGCCGCCCCTCGTGGGGCTGCCGTGCTGCTTGAGCTGGAAAGGCACCGTCGCCCGCATGGGCTGCAGGCGGCTGCTGTTGGCGCTGGCGGCCCCGCCTGCTCCCGCCGACACAGCCGAGGCTCCCCCCGCCGCCGCCGCCGCCGCCAGGGAGGTGGCCGGGGTCGGCGAGCCGCTTCGCCTCACGCGCGGCGGGTGAGACGCCATCCTTCGGCCGGCTCTGAGGTAAACGGCGCTGAGGAGAACGGCCGTTGGGAAGGGGGAGGGGAGGGGGAAGAGGAGCCGCCAGTCAGTCAGTCAGTCGGTCGGTCGGTCGGTCAGCCAGGCCCCCCTCAGCAATATAGCTCTCCTCACACACGAGCGGAACGCCGCTCCGGCCGATGCGACCGCTCCGGCCGCCTCATCAACAATAGTGGCCGCACCGGCGTCTCCTATTGGAAGCTCGTCGGCGCCGTTGCTGCCGCTACAGCGCGCTGATTGGGCGAGGGGCGTGGCCTTGGGGGGGTCCCGTCTCTGTGTGTGCGCGCGCGCGTGTGTATGTGTGCGCGCGCCCGTCGCGGGGGTGGGGTGAGGCTTAAAGGGGCAGCGTCGCGAGAGGCGAGACGGGAGCTGAGTGACAGCTTGCGGAGGCGTTCCACGCAACCGCACGCGTGTTTTCATCGCGGGCGTGTGACGCCCTCAGCCGCGGGCGTGGGAAGGCAGGTGACATGGCTGGGTCTTGCTTTAAGATACAGCGCCCCATCATGGAAAATAGATGATAATGATGATGATGATGATGATGAAGAAGATAAACAATAATAATTTTTTATTTTTATGTTATTTTTATTAAATTTGTGCATGGAGAACACCCATTGCATGTGGTTTGCATGCATAAGCTCTCACTTTCCATTCGTTTTCTGTTCCTGGCAGTACTGGGAAAGGCTCCTGTCCAATATTATTATTATTATTATTATTATTATTATTATTATTATTATTATTATTATTATTATTAATTGTACCCCTCCCATCTGACTGGGTTGCCCCAGCCACTCTGGGCATCTTCCAACATATATAAAAAACATGATAAAACATTAAACATTAAAAAAACTTCCCTATACAGCCCTGCTGCCTTCTGGTGTCTTCTAAAGGTTATACTGTATTCGGACCAACATTCTTAGGAGCAAACTGGACACAAAATTGGGGGCGGGGAGTTGTTGCTATTATTGCTATTATTTATATATCTTTGTATTTTTATTTAAATGTTATGAATTACGTGGAAATTGTTTCAAGTTGGTTGTGTACTTTTTGATGTTTTTTGTAATTAAGAACTTTTGCTCGCGCTGTAAGCCGTCTTGAGCATGGTTTCAACTGTGGAAAGGTTTGCATCGAAATAAAATTCTGACCATGTATGTAGTTCTGCTTCTGTTTTCGAAATGGGAGATATTGGAGGTGATGTTTAAGGCTGTGTTTGTGCTGCAAAGGGCCAGCAGACAGACGGGAATAGAAAGCTACCCTTCTCCTGGGCCAAACTACTGGTCCCATGTACCAGTTCAGCACTGTCTGCTCAGCTCTGCAGTGACTGAATGAAGTGCTCTGGTTATCTCCCGCTTGGACTCCTGCAATGCGCTCTGTGTGGGGCTACCTTGGAAGGTGATTCAAAACCAACTACCGTATTTTTCGGTCTATAAGATGCACCCGACCATAAGGCGCACCTAGTTTTTAGAGGAGGAAAATAAGAAAAAAAATATTCTGAATCAAATGTTGAAGGAGGAGGGAGGATCAGGCTAAGTCATCATAAGAGGCGCTGCACAGCTCTCCCTCTTGCTGTTCTGGCTTCAGCGATAGCTGCGCACCCTGCATTCACTCCATAAGACGCACACGCATTTCCCCTTACTTTTTAGGAGGGAAAAGGTGCTTCTTGTACAGCAAAAAATACGGTAATCCAGATTGCGGCAGCTAGACTGGTGACTTGGTGCAGTTTCCAGGGCCATATAGCACCAGTCCTAAAGGATCTGCATTGGTTTCTGAGCACAATTCAAAGTGTTGGTGCTAACCTTTAAAGCCCCAAGTGGCTTTAGCCCAGTATACCTGAAGGAGCGTCTCCACCCCAATTGTTCAGCCAGGACACTGAGGTCCAGCTCTAAGGGCCTTCTGGCAGTTCCCTGTAGCAAGAGGTAAAGCTACAGCGAACCAGGTCAAGAGCCTTCTCAGTAGTGGCGTCCTCCTTGTGGAATGCCCTCCCAATCAGTTGCCAAGGATATTAGTTTGTTTTTTTTTAATAAAATATTTTATTGCAATTTTTTAACAAAAGAAAATCACCAAACATATGAAACACCATCACCACTAAATAACAAACAAAGAAAACATAGATAGACAAAAATATAGAACATAAGATATAACAAAGAAAAAAGAAAAAATCACAACCTTTCATACATTTTTTCCATAACTATCTGGACTTCCTCACGTCTCCCTTTCCTGCGTTCTCCGTAAAAAAAAAAATTATAAACCGCAATTTATTACCTTATTTCAATTCTTATGTTCTAGTTCTCATACATTATGCCTCTAATTTTAAATGTTTCCATCAAATATTAGTAACTATATAGTGGTACCTCCGGTTACGAACTTAATTCGTTCCGGAGGTCTGTTTTTAACCCGAAACCGTTCTTAACATGAGGCGTGCTTTCGCTAATGGGGCCCCCCGCTGCCGCCACGGCACTGGCACACAACTTCCGCTCGCATCCCGGGGCAAAGTTCTCAAGCAGAAGCATCTCTCGCAGGAGCGAGACTCCTTACAGGGTCCTCGCTGCGGGATCACATTCACCTAGTGCTATATCAGCTGCACTGGCTCCCGGTGGAGTACAGGATCAGGTTTAAGGTGCTGGTTTTAACCTTTAAAGCCCTATACGGCCTAGGACCCTCGTACCTACGGGACCGCCTCTCCTGGTATGTCCCACAGAGGACCTTATGGTCTTCAACAAAAACATCCTGGAGGTCCTGGGCCACAGAGAGGTTAGGCTGGCCTCAACCAGAGCCAGGGCTTTTTCGGCTGTGGCTCTGATCTGGTGGAACGCTCTGTCACAAGAGACTAGGGCCCTGCGGGACTTGACATCTTTCCTCAGGGCCTGCAAGACAGAGCTGTTCCACCAGGCCTTTGGTCAGGGCACAGCCTGACTCCCTCCTCTGGTAATCCTCACATAACTCAAGTTGCTATCAATTTGATTTGAACTGATTTTATAATGAATTGATTTTAGAATGCTGTATTATTTTACTGTTGTTAGCCACTCTGAGCCCGGCTTCGGCTGGGGAGGGCGGGATATAAATAAATAATTATTATTATTATTATTATTATTATTATTATTATTATTATTATTACTACTACTACTACTACTACTACAGTGGTGCCTCGCAAGACGAAATTAATTCGTTCCGCGAGTTTTGTCGTCTTGCGAAGCACAGTGTCGGAAAAGTTTTGGAAAAGCTTCAAAAATCACCAAAGTCTTCAAAAACCTCAAAAAGGCTACCACACCGTGTGCTATGAGTTGCTCCTCGAAGTCAAGTCGCAACTGTATTAACGGTGTTAAGAAAAAGGAAACAAACTTGCAAGACGTTTCCGCCTTGTAAAGCAAGCCCATAGGGAAAATCGTCTTGCGAAGCAGCTAAAAAAACAAAAAACCCTTTCGTCTTGCGAGTTTTCCGTCTTGCGAGGCATTCGTCTTGCGAGGTACCACTGTACTACTACTACTACTACTTCCGGGTTAGCTGAGCTTGTTACCCAAAGCGTTCGTAAGGAGGATGCTACATAACCCGAGGTTCCACAGTATTACAATTTAGTCATGGGCTACCAGTTGCTGATCCCTAGTCCACCTGGGGCCAGCTCCAGAGGCAGAGGAAAGGTGCAGGCAAACAGCGTTTAGAGCATGGGCAGGCAAACTAAGGCCCGGGGGCTGGATCCGACCCAATCGCCTTCTAAATCCGGCCCACAGACGGTCGGGGAATCAGCGTGTTTTTACATGAGTAGAATGTGTCCTTTTATTTAAAATGCATCTCTGAGTTATTTGTGGGGCATAGGAATTTGTTCATTCCCTCCCCCCCAGATATATAGTCCGGCCCCCTACAAGGTCTGAGGGACAGTGGACCGCCCCCCCCCTGCTGAAAAGGTTTGCTGACCCCTGGTTTAGAGCAACAGGATTTGTTTCCAAGCCATTTTGTGGGATGGGGTTTTGCGGGACTTGGCCCTCCACTCCTTTTTCAGTTTCCCAATCTGTTAGCTGCTCCAGTTCTTACACTTAAGAGTTTTACCCATTACTGTATCAACCCTTTCAAATTGTCCATCATTCTCCAATTTGGGCACCTGTTATAATAGAGCGGCTTGCTTGCTATTGCACCCCTTTGTTTCATTGTTGTTGTTTAGTCGTGTCCGACTCTTCGTGACCCCATGGACCAGAGCACGCCAGGCACTCCTGTCTGCCACTGCCTCCCGCAGTTTGGTCAAACTCATGCTGGTAGCTTTGAGAACACTGTCCAACCATCTCATCCTCTGTCGTCCCCTTCTCCTTGTGCCCTCCATCTTTCCCAACATCAGGGTCTTTTCCAGGGAGTCTTCTCTTCTCATGAGGTGGCCAAAGTATTGGAGCCTCAGCTTCACGATCTGTCCTTCCAGTGAGCACTCAGGGCTGATTTCCTTCAGAATGGATAGGTTTGATCTTCTTGCAGTCCATGGGAATCTCAAGAGTCTCCTCTAGCACCAGAATTCAAAAGCATCAATTCTTCGGCAATCAGCCTTCTTAATGGTCCAGCTCTCACTTCCATACTTCACTACTGGGAAAACCATAGCTTTAACTATACAGACCTTTGTTGACAAGGTGATGTCTCTGCTTTTTAAGATGCTGTCTAGGTTTGTCATTGCTTTTCTCCCAAGAAACAGGTGTCTTTTAATTTCATGGCTGCTGTCACCATCTGCAGTGATCATGGAGCCCAAGAAAGTAAAATTTCTCACTGCCTCCATTTCTTCCCCTTCTATTTGCCAGGAGGTGATGGGCCCAGTCGCCATGATCTTCGTTTTTTTGATGTTGAGCTTCAGTCCATATTTTGCGCTCTCCTCTTTCACCCTCATTAAAAGGTTCTTTAATTCCTCCTCACTTTCTGCCACCAAAGTTGTGTCATCTGCATACCTGAGGTTGTTGATATTTCTTCCAGCAATCTTAATTCCGTCTTGGGATTCATCCAGTCCAGCCTTTCGCATGATGAATTCTGCATATAAGTTAAATAAGCAGGAGACAATATACAGCCTTGTCGTACTCCTTTCCCAATTTTGAACCCATCAGTTCTTCCATATCCAGTTATAACTGTAGATTCTTGTCCCACATAGAGATTTCTCAGGAGACAGATGAGGTGATCAGGCACTCCCATTTCTTTAAGAACTTGCCATAGTTTGCTGTGGTCGACA